GCCCGGGTAGCCGCCCCTTCCACCCCGACTCGATCGTCGTCAGCCCTCGAGAGCCCCATGCAGCTCGCCGAGGATGGATGCCGTCCCCCGAGGGTCCCGGGCTCTCGGTGACATCGTCTAGCGCCTTCGGAGCCGTCATCCTGAAGAATGGGGGGCAGCGGGTGCGGGCTCGGGCCTCGCCCTGTGCAGCTCTCCTGCCGCCAGGCCGGTCCTCCTCCATCCGGCAGGCCCCCTCCGACCTCCCCTCCTGGCCTCCCCCGTAGGATTCTGAGCACAGAGCCCACAGCCCACCCCGCTTCTCCCCGGATCCTCGTGCCCGGCTCCAATAAACTCTAGCCCTAGCTGCCTCGTGCTGTGTCTTTGGTGTTAGCGGAGATGCCTCCTCTTCCAAATCTGAGAAGTCTTTCTGGGGTTTGGCATTTGTCTCTTGCCATGGGTGGGTTTTGTGGGCTTTCTCCCTTCTCTAGGGGACTCTTTTTTCACTGCCTTTGTGTAAATTTTAGGTTAGGGTGGGGAGAAGAGGCTTATCACTACCAGGGCCACTGAAGGTCAGACAGCATGAAGGACTTTCCAGTTTTTAATGTGCTTGGGACACAGAAAAGTGCCTTTCTGAAGAAAGAAATTAAAAATAAGTAAACAAAGAGGGTCTTCCCCAACAGTACGGGAGACAAACTGGGTTCTGAGAATTGCTGTATTTTAATCACATGTTAGGAACAGAGACTAAATCACCCTGACGCAGAAGGCAGCTAGGAAGAAAGGGTGTGTGCCTTCTTCCAGGTGTGGAGGGTGGACAGGGGTGGCTGTGGGGACTTTCTGCTTCTCTGGAAACCTGCCACCGACCGTGAGTACAGCCTCTGGTCGCGATTGCTGCTGCTGAGCTATGGCTGAGAAACTCAGGGCGAGCTTCTGGGGAAGGAGTCAGGGGTAGTTGAGACCTGGCCCTGGGCAGGGCCTGGGATCCTGCATGCAGAAAGTAGTTTTCCTGCCCGGCTTCCCCCTCAAACTGGAGACTCTCCCAGGAGAGTGAGGCTGAGCTTTCCCAGATGGACAGTTTGGTCCGGGGATGTGGAGGAGAGGAGTGTCAGTTACTCAGCGGGCCCCAGCATTCCCCAGAGGGCTACTTGGTCAGAAGTGGAATGCAGGAAGCCAGCGCTCTACACTAGCCAGGCTAGACGGTGTCCAGGGGCACAGACTTGGGGCTGAGTTGCCCAGATTCAAATCCCAGGTCTTCCTCTTGTTGCCTATGTGACTTCAGGCAGGTTACTCAACCTCTCTGGTCCTGTAAAATGAAGAGGACGGCACTTACATAGTTCCTGTGAGGACTCCATAAGCTAGTGACCTAAAGCCCTCAGAGCAAAGCCACATGTTCTCTCCACCACCTCTGTCCCTCGGGGCTTTAAAAACCACAGCTAGGGTCCCACGGGGTATCAAGTTAGTCCAAGGCCCTGGACCCAGCGAGTAGTGAGTTCAGGGGAGGCTCTGCTCCAGCTGGTCCCTTCTTTCTAGTTTTTAAGTTTCTTGGCTCCAGTTGTCACCAGTCTCCTGCTCTGTCTGCATCTTTACCGTCTCCTCGCCCCCGTGCTGTCTGTCTGCACCGTCTGTCTCTCTGGTGTCTCTCCATGTTGTCTCTGTCACCGCTCTTCCCCCTCCTTTCCCGCCCCCTGCTCATTTCTCCCTTGGTCTCAGCCTCCACACCTCTGGCTCCTTCCCTTTCTTTGCTTCTCTTCCCTTCTCCCTCTTCTCAACTTCTCTTTCAGTCCCTCCCTTAATCTTTCATTTTACAAAACAACAACAGGTTTTTTTTTTTTTTTTTTTTTTAGCAGGTACAGTGTGCAAGGACTTACAAACACTGGAGCACAGCACGGAACAGAGCAGGCAAAACCTGCTGCTCTCCGAAGCCCACAATGCATATCATCAGTAACTCACATGTGTTACGTCAGGTAGCCACAGCACAGAGGAAAAAATGAAACAGCAAAGGTGGCAGGGGAGATAGGGGAGCTGGTTACTGGACCTGGGCAGGCAGATCTCTGGGGAAAGATTGCTCCAGGCCAAGGCAAGTGCAAAGGCCCTGCGGCTGGAGGGGCTTGGCTGGTTATTGATCAGCAACAGGCAAGTGTGGCCAGAGTAAGAGGGAGTGAAGGGAGAGAGGAAGGAGGTGATGAAGGGCAGAATGCTCATGGCCTTGTGGGCCTCAGTAAGGACTTTGGTTTTTACTTGGAATGAGGCAGGAGCCGTGGGAAGCTTCTGAGCTGAGGAGGGATGGTGCTGACTTGGATATTGGCCACCGCCTCTGGCTGCCATGCATTGGGGACCGTCGGCGCCACAGCCGAAGCTGGGAGGCCAGTGAGGGGGTGCTGACAGGAGAGGGAGAGAAGAGGTTGGTTCAAACCTCTCTGGATGGTGGTAAAATATACATAAATTACCACTTTAAAGTCCAAGTTCAAGGGCATTGAATACATTCCCATGGTCTTGCACACTGCTGTCTTCCCACGCTGCAACCCCTGGTCCCTGCCTCCCTGGCCACGCCAATCTACTGCCTGTCACTCTGAGTTGCTCCGCTGCACACATTCCACATCCTTGGAATCCTACACCGGGCCATCTCTGGTGTCCTGCTTCCTTCCCGCAGCACTGTGGCTTTGAGATCCAACCTGTGACCCTGTGTATCCACACACCACTGGTCTCCATGGCTGAGCGACATGCCACTGTACACGCAGACCAGGTATTGTGCATCCATCCACCAGCTGGACTTTTGGGGCTTCTTCTTTCTGTCCATTTTTTTTTTTTTATGGGGAATTGAATTCAGGGACACTCCACCACTGAGCCACATCCCGGCACTATTTTGTATTTTATTTAGAGACAGGGTCTCACTGAGTTGCTTAGTTCCTTGTTGTTGCTGAGGCTGGCTTTGAACTCACCATCATCCTGCCTCAGCCTCCTGAGCCACTGGGATTACAGGCGTGCATCACCGCACCCAGCTCCGTCTGTCCATTGTGAATCGCACTGCTCTGAGCGCTCATGTAGGAGTTTTAGTTCAAACACATTTTTAACTCTCATGGATGTACTCAGGAGTGGAATTGCTGTGTCCTGTGATAAGCTGTTTAATTATCATGGAGGAACCATCAAAGTCTGTATATATTTTGAAGATACAACCAATTTGAACTGGTTATGGGATGTCAAGAGAAGGTCAAGGCTGGGCCCAAGCGCCTGGGGGTGAAGTAGGGAGCCCAGTCTGGGGCTGGAGACTGGGGGACTATCGGGGTTAGGGTGTACAGTGCTGACCTCCTTCTCATCTCCCCTCCAGACCCTCAGTCCTCTTCCCCATGTCTCTCCTCTCTCTTTTCTCTCCCTCCTCCAACAACCCTAAATTACATTGATGAAAAAGTGATGTGCCCTCTGCAACCTGCCACTGACTTCCCACCTTTCGCTGTCCAGGGGAACCGCAAAGGGGTCAACTTCTGCCCTTCATAGGCTTTAGGATCTCCAAAGGATTCCAGAAACCCTCCTGTAAGTTTGCCCCCCTGACTCAGTCTCTCGGGGATCATAACAGTCAACAAGGCCTGTGCCAAGCGTTAGGACAGAGCTGGAGACAGACCCCTGAAGATGGTGGTGATCCCCTGTGCGGAGGGGGCAGTGCTGGGGACAAGGGGTGACTACGACAGCCTTGGCCCTACCCTCATGGGTCTCACCCCCCATGGAGGAAAGACCTGATGGGGGCTCAGGGTGCTGAAGGAGTCTTGAAGGAGCTGTGATTCAGTCTGGGCGTCTGAAGCATCTCCTGGAAGAGGCTCCCTAGTCATATTCTATGACTTGTTCTGGAGCCAGACCGCCTGACCACAGCTGTTTCCAGTTATTTTCATGCACAGGGCTGGCCACATCCACAGGCTGCTTCTCCTCAAGACTGAAGGCCAGGTGCCCAGAGGGGAGGTATTACCATTCCCTGGGCGTAAGCAGGCCTGGGCCCTATTGGTGAACCAGGGTCTTTCTTTCCATCTGATTGGATGAACCCGAGTCACATGACAACCTTGGACTCAGTGTCTATCAAGGGCTGGTTGGTTAAGGTTTGAGTTCCTGAACTATTCACACGTGAAGGCGGGATAATTATGAAGTTTTAGACCAATCAGGATCCAGTTCTGTATCTGGCCTATCAGAAGCCGAACTGAAAGGGCCGGGGCTGCCAGGAGGGGGCGCACAAGGGCTTTCCTGGATTCTGGCACCTGGTAAACCCGGTGACTTACCCTCAGAGCCGCCAAAGGTCCCAGAAACAGAATCTGGAATCTGTTACTGCAGTTCCGAATTCTTGAAAGCTCTGATAAGGTTAAATGTTTTTTGGGGGGATAATTTTGTCTTGGTCTCATATGGTGGCAAATCAACAAATATGATATGAACTAAGTATACTGTTTATTTATCCCATTTTAGTGTGAATATTCACACATTTTGCTGCAAATATATTAACATCTGCTGGAGGCAGGATGTGGGCCGGCCGCCTCAGGCCCCTCGGAGCGTTACATAATGTGTGGCATTGGCTCAGAATTGCCTTTCTAAAATTGGAGCAATTCTGAGTTCTGAAATTCATCTGTCCCCGAAGACCTCAGCTAAGGGAGCAAGGACCTGTGATTTGGCACTCTGCCAAACCTAGATTTACTTTAATTATTGTTTCAACATTTATTTAATGGCTTTGGAGAGAAACTAATTTTCCATTACAATTTTTTTAAAAATAGAAAATGAAACGTCATTTCACCAAGTTCCTTCTACTAATGATGAAAGACCCCCGTCCAATGAAAGACCCCCGTATCCCTGTCCAAGGAGAATCACACGAAACACTGGCTGCAAAAGCAAGAGGTTGGTTTATTGGGACACAGGCGCCTGCGGGTGCCCAGCAGAACCTCAGCCGGAGCTTTGGTGAACTGGCACACCGGGCTTGGGGATACAGAGATTTTTATAGGGTTTGGGACAGGTTTCGCGGGCGCGGGAAGCAACAGGTTTCTTATTGGTTTGTTTAAATCTAGCATATAGGCCACCTAGGGGGTACAGGTCTGCATTCCAAAAACCACAGGTCTGCATTCTATTCTTTCTGTTCCTGCTTATCTGTTCCGGTTTATTCATTCATGCCTCAGGATTCGGGTGCTCTGTTCTTCCACCGGTTGTCCGGAGAGCATGCCTGGCGCCTGAACCTGTTTATGGCCTGTCTGGTATCTTGGTTTTCATATCTTGGCCTTAGGTAACTAGGCTGACTGGGCTAGGGTCTTTCAATGATATGCCATTTTTAGTGGTGTGTGTGTGTGTGTGTGTGTGTCTGTGTGTGGTGTTTGTGTCTGTATAAGTGTGTCCGTGTTGGAGAGGGTGCTTGTGTATGGCAGTATTGCTGTGTGTGTGCATGTTATGTGGGTTTGAGTTTGTGTGCGTGCGTGTATGTATTTGATCGTGTTTATGGTGCGAAGCGTGTATGTGTGTGCGTGAGTGTGAGTGTAGACTAGAGGAGGCTGGGCGCAGTGTTTAAATTTGGGGGGTGGGGTTGGGGTTGTGGCTCAGTGGTAGAGCACTTGCCTAGCATGTGTGAGGCACTGGGTTCGATTCTCAGCACCACATACAAGTAAATAAATAAAATAAAGGTCCATCAATGTCTAAAAAAATTAGAAAAAAATAAATTTGGGGGGTGGGTGCTTGAAATTTATAAGATGAAACAATGTCCTAATTTCAGACAACCATTTGAGCTTCTGCTTTAGAAATTCAGGAAAATTGTGTGCTTTCAGGCCATCCCCTTCATTCCACTAGGGGCGCCTGCCCACTTCTCCAGAAAGAAAGGAATCTCCATTTTGCCACGTAATAGCGGGGAGTTTGGATCCTCGCAGAGATGAGGGGAGGATGGCTGTGGGAGGGGCGTGGAGGGGCGTGCAGGGAGGGGCTGGTAGCCGCTGCCTTCAGATCACCCCAGCTGTGCGTAGACCAGCGCTTCTCGGACTGAACGACTGGTCTCAAGATTCTTTCTTTTTTTTTTTTTTTTTTAGAGAGAGAGTGAGAGAGAGAGGGGGACAGAGAGAGAGAATTTTAACATTTATTTATTTTTTCTTAGTTCTCGGCGGACACAACATCTTTGTTGGTATGTGCTGCTGAGGATCGAACCCGGGCCGCACGCATGCCAGGCGAGCGCGCCACCGCTTGAGCCACATCCCCAGCCCTCAAGATTCTTTCATGGTTTTAAAAATTACTCAACTGTGTTTTGTTTCTGTGGGTTGTGACTGTCAATATTTAGGTGTTAAGTTAAGATGGAGACATTTCATAATACTTATTATTTCATTAAAGAGGAGCTATAAACTGTGCATGATGGCACAGCCTGTAATCCCAGTGGCTTGGGAGGCTGAGGCAGGAGGATTGCGAGTTCAAAGCCAGCCTCAACAAAAGTGAGGCGCTAAGCAACTCAATGAGACCCTGTTTCTAAATAGAATATAAACTAGGGCTGGGGAGGTGGCTCAGTGGTCGAGTGCCCCTGAGTTCAATCCCCGGTACCAAAAAAGTAAAAGATAAAAATAAAGCATAGTAGTTAAAAAAAAAAAAAAGGAGCTATACTAAACCCACTGAGTTTTTCATGATTTGTTAGTTGTAATGACATTTGCCTTTTTTTTTTTTTTTTTGGTACTAGAGATTGAACTCAGGGGCGCTTAACCACTGAGCGACCTCCCCAGCCCTTTTATTTTTTAATTTTGAGACAGAGTCTTGCTAAGTTGCTGAAGGCTGGCCTTGAACTTGAGATCCTCCTGCATCAGCCTCCCAAATTGTTGGGATTATAGGTGTGCGCCACTAGGCCCAGACCAACAGCTGGATTCTTGTAACTATTTGGGGGGTTAGGTCTGTTCCAGTGCCACAAGTCATCCAAACTCTGGAAAAATCCACTGACATTTGAGAAAAAAATGAAAAAGGCAAACAAAGTCTTCATATTATTATGGAAAATGTTTGGGCTTCACAGACCCCATGACAGGGTCCCAGGGACCCCCTCCCAAAGCAGGTCTGCAGGTCCTGCTTTGGGAACTGCTCGTTTGCATGTGCTCCTCTGAGGCTCATGAGACCCCCATGAGGTGAGGTCATGGGCACCAGTATGGATGGTGGTGAGGATTTTGAGTCTCCTGTCTAGTCTGGCAAGTTTGCTGATTTTTTTTTTTTTTTAGTTGTAAATTGGCCAACATACCTTTATCTTATTTCTTTATATGTGGTGCTGAGGGTCGAACCCAGGGCCTCGCACACACTAGGCAAGCGCTCTACCTCTGAGCCCAGCCCAGCCCCAGTTTGTAAACTGACTGTGGTGGCGGTTTGTTTCACGGAGGTATTTCCTTTGAAGTGGGAGCTGTTAGAGTTCATCAGTTTTGCCTCGTCCATTGTCAAAAACAGTCCAGGGCAGCTTTCCTATGCTCTTAATGGATTTCCCAAGAGAATGATTCAATCTCTTGCTTTGATTTTGCATCCTCCATTGCTTTGAGAGTCCTCCATGGTCATTAAAAGTGCTATCATGGTTGGCTATTTCCCAGTTGAAAATAAAAAGTCCTTCAACAGATTCTAGTCTATAAAAAGCGCAGGCAGAGATTCAGTGGGTGGTGGATGGTGAGCGGGAAAGGAGGAGGGCTGGTTTTTTTTACCAGCCCAGAGAGCAGAGGTCTCTCAGGTGGAGGTGTTTGGATTGGGGTCCTTGCCCTATGTTACCTCCTCAAAATGCATCCTTCATTAAAGCTCTCAGTCAGTAGAGTGTGAGTTTTGGGGGATTCCACATCCACAGAGCCATAGGTGGGATTTTGGGTGTGCTTGTTTTGTGTTAGGATACTGGGGATTGAACTCAGGGGCACTTTACCACTGAGCTATAATCCCGACCCTTTTTATTTTGAGACTGGGTTTTGCTAAGTTGCTGAGGCTGGCCTCCAACTTGAGATCCTCCTGTCTCAGCCCCCCGAATAGCTGGGGTTACAGGCATGCGCCAGCATATCCAGGAGAGGTGGGATGTTGATGGCAGCATCTCTGCAAGTTGACTACATAGTTTTGGAGGCAACTTGAGTTTCTATTTCAGGGCTGAAGGTGAATTTTAAAATAGGTACAATATGATCATTTAAAACGAACTCCTTGAGATTCCTTCTGTCCCATCAAGATGTGGAGTCTGATTGTCTGATTCTCCTCCCCTTGAAGATGGGCCAGATTCAGTGATTCACTTTTTTTTTTTTTTTTTGGTACTGGGGATGGAACCCAGGGGTATTTTACCACCGAGCCACACCCCCAGTCTTTTATTCATTTATTTGAATTATCTTTCTGTGTTGCTTAGGGCCTCATTAAGTTACTGAGGCTTGAACTTGGGATCCTCCTGCCTCAGGCTCCTGATCTGCTGGGTTTACAGGTGTGTGCTGCTGTGGCCGGCTTTATGTGTCAACTTGAATGGACTGTGGGTGCCAGTTTGCAAAATTTCTGGGTGTGTCTTTGTGGGTGTTTCCAGAAGAGATTGACATTTGAGTTGGAGCACTCAGCAGTGTAGATTGTCCTTTCCATGTGGGTGGATATCAGCCCGTCCTTTGAGGGTCTCAGAAGGAGGAGTCTGCTTCCCCAGCACTACTCAAACCCCTTCCTCTCCTCCTCCTTTTCCTCACTGGGACATTCATCTCATCGTCTCCTGTCTTTGCCCTGAAACTTATGCCATTGATGCCCCCGGTCCTCAGGCCTGCAGCCCTGAACTGATCTGTCCCTGGCTCCCCTGGGTCTCAAGCTTATGACAGAAGATAGTGGGACTTCTCAGATCCCGTGATCGCATGGGCCGGTTCCCCATGACAGATCTCTCTGCACGTATCTCTACATCTGTGCCCCCCTCTCTGCACACCTGGAAGACCCTACCTAAAGCAGGGTCCCAGCCAGCAACCTCAGGGGGGCTCTCGCTGCCGGGCACATCACGTGCAGGCGTGGGAGTGGTGCATGCTGGGGTCCCCAGCCTCTCAGCTGCCCTAACCGGCACCAGGTGGAGCAGTGAAGAGCTGTGTCTACGGGAACCTCCCCACTTGTCGCCTACTGGCTGAGGGGTCTTCTGCTCAATTTGCATAGAAACCATGACTAGGCCACGTGCAGCTCCCCTAGTGCAGCTCCCCTAGTGTCAGCAGCTCGGAGCTTTGAGCGCCAGCAGCGCCCCCGAGAGAAATCATGAACAGGCAAAATGTAACCACCCCAAAGAGATTTTACTGGGATTGGTGCTGCAGCTTGAGGGGAATGGATCGCTCTGATAACCATATGGGGAAACCGGCTGATATAGACAAAAAAGGTGGCAGGTCACAAGTGCATGTCCTTCCAGCCGGCCCCAGACTTCATGCTTAGTCATGGGTAACAGAGGGGCTCCTCAGTGCCAGACTGGGGATAGTGCCAGTGGCTGGTGAGGGGCAGAGTCACCTGAGATGAAAGTGAAAGTCCCCTGCAGCGTCCGTGGGGTGTGTGATGCAGCCGGAAAATTCACACGCTCCCTTGGTTCTTCAGAACCAGATGGGGGCCATGGGATGAGGACTGCCCAGGGGAAGTGACCGTCACCTGTGGGGTGAAGCAGGTGAAAGCTGGAGGCTGCAGGAACCATCTGACTATGTAGGTGATAAACGAATCCTTATTTTTTATCTCAAGTCTTTAGACATGGGGACTTGTTTGTTAGAGCAGCTAACATTAACGATCCGGAGTAATGTGTGTCAAACCCAGAAGGCTTTGCCTGTTGGACAAAGGGGGCTCAAAGAGAATCAGTTAAACAGGAGAGAGGCCAGGATAACATGCTGTGAAAACCCAAATGTCCACGCCTGATACATAATTGAAAAAAAATTGCCCCGCACGTGGGGATGAGGGGACTGATGATTTAGAGAAAGAAGTATAAATTGTAGTATCAGTTGACTGTCGCTGTGTAAAAAAATGAGCCCCAAGCTCAGTAGATAAAAATCATAAAGTGTCTTTCATGACTCTGTGGAGTCAGCCAGGTTTGTCTGAATTAGTGGGATTCAAGGAATGTCATGTTGCTCCTTATATCCTTTGCTGTCTCCTCCTCCTTCTCCTCCTCATACTGGGGTTTGAACCCAGGGGCACTTGACCACTGACCCAAATTCCCAGCCTCTTTTTTATAGTTTATTTAGAGATAGGGTCTCATCAAGTTGCCTAGGGCCTCGCTGAGGCTGGCCTTGAACTTGAGATACTCCTGCCTCAGCCTCCCAAGTCACTGGGATTACAGGTGCCTTCATACTGGGCTCCTTTGCTGTCTTCTGGGACCAGTGGTCTAGCCTGGGCATATCTTGCTTATGAAGATGGAAGAGGTTTAAGAAAGCAATGCAAGTTAGCAGAGCTTCCCAAGGTGCAAGCTCTTAGTTGGCACACCATTATTTCTGTCTCATTCAATTGGCCAAAGTGAGCTACAAGTCTCATCAAAAACTTGGGAGGCTGGCACTTTGATGCATGCCTGTAATCCAGGTAGCTCGGAAGGCTGAGGCTGGCGGGGGCGGGGGG